CATATAATTCACAATAAAACATTAAAAAAAAAAAAAAGAGAGAGAGAATGCAGGGGAAGATAGAGTCTCCACTGAGTAGTTTTCATCTTGTCTAGATGGGTCTGGTGAAAAGAGACGGGGATAAGATTCTTATAATTTAATAGTGAGTAACTGTTATCATGACTAACTGCGACTGCCCCAACTGTAAAGGTAGAAGTTTTGTAACAAAAACGGGGAAGTCGTTAATCTTACAGTCCAGAAACAGAGGACCCTAGGACCATCAAGGGAGAAGAGAAAGCAGAATGCAGGAGTCTATCCAGAGAAGCAGCGACACCAGAGATGGAGGCAGAGATGGGGACATGGAGAGAGGGAACAGCTGAGGACTCTAGAATCATGGAAAGAGAGGGAGTGAGAGCTGGCGGCTAGGAAGCAGGCTTGCAGAATGTGCCCTTTGGTGGTTTAAATTATTATATATGCCTGAGTGTTTCTGCATATATCGCCCCATCCCAGCCCCAACCCCCCTGCAAAAAAAAAAACAAAAAACAGAGGGAATGGAAGCAAATACTGTTGAATGATGATCCACGGAGTAGATTGTAATCACTGCAATGAAATGATGGTGTAAAGCCAATGTTCTCCCATGTAAATTATCACTTAGTTCACAATAAACATTTTTTTAAAAAAAGGAAATGGTCCATTCACCTGGAGATGAGAGAGAGAAGAGGAAGGGCTGGTTGGTACAAAGTGTGGGGAGACTTGGGAATTCCTGAGCCCATGGACATTGACCTAGCCACGGAGGGCTAGAGCTGAGAGTGAAGCATCCAGGTGATAAGAAGTGGGGAGAGCCACACAAGAACGCCTATTTGATCTAGCATCAGCGGCTTGATGGCCAGGACTTGACTAGAGGAAGATAAAGTAATTTGGTAAAGGAAGCAAATGTAAATTGCTACAATGTGATGAACTTGATGTATATAGCAGCTCAAAATACCAACCAAGAGGGAAGGAGTCTTCAAATCAAGGATCAAACTATCTTCTCTGTACACAGGGTAGATAGGGATGGGCCACTGAAGGAAAAATTCAAGCCTTGACTTGTAATATTGAAAGGATTGAATGACACAGGAAGCAACTAAAGCAGGACCACACAGATTGACTGTACTAAAAGGAACTGGTCAATGTTCAACCATTTCAAAAAC